GGAGAAAAGGTGGCGGAACTCAAACCTGGCCACGCCCTCATCAAACCCTAGGACCGCCCCTTTAGAGAACAGGAATGCAAGTAAAATTTGGGAGGGGCTATTTCCGGTGTGGGAGGGGCTATTTCCGGTGCGGCCGGCCCGGAAAAAGGTGCCGGAACGCCGTTCCGCCGCGTTCCGGCTGAAAAAAAGCCCTGGATGTGTTTATGATAGCTTTCAGATATGGTAGTTTTTTACAGCCAAAAAATCATATGGAAGTGTATGTTTTAAAATTAACACTGACATCACAAACCTTTTGGCTTTTCTCAGTTAGAGAAATTGATATAATTAAACAAGCTATATCCACTGAACATAAATTTTTCAGCATTAAACTGTATGCTTATGAATGTTTGTTTAGATAGTACTTAATGACTATTCCATTTTAACAAATCCTGATCTTAATACAGTCTTAAAACACCTCATTATCACAGTTGGATTCAGGTAGCCCTTGCCTAATTATCCTAATTGGGACTGGAATTTCTATCACTAAGTGAAGTGGTCATTTAGGCGAAACATATGACCACACCAGTTAGCAACAGCAGGTCTACTATTGTTGGTTGCAGCTGTCAGGTCAGAACTGCACTGTTGTTAGACAAGAACCTCACACTTCTGTTGCCCTGTCGTGCCACCTCCACTTTAACTCCCTCCCATCTTTCTCCCTCCCCACTTCCCCGACATCTCTGCTCTTTTGGCCATCCTGCATCTACTTTTGCCTACCCCTACCCTCAGCTGCAGAAGGAAGAAGATGGTGAGGAGAGCGGGGAGTGGCAAGAATAAATGGCAGTAAGTGCAGGACAACCAGAAGGACAGGGATTGAGAGGAAGACAGGCGAGTGGAGGAAGTTGAAGTACATGCTGCTGTTGTAAATGCGGGAGGCCGCCAAATGTCCAAATTTTAATCACAGGACCCCAGGGGTACTGCATCGGCTGTAACTTTGAGGACCAGCCATAATTACCACTTGATTAGTGCCATTGTAAATTTGAATGGTCACTCAACAAATGGTCATTAAGCAAGGACTCCCTGTACTATGACCTTTATTCTGTTGTATGAAGGACAATAAAAATGGTGCAGCTAAATAAAATATGCTGTACTTCACCAGAACAGAACTAGATGCAAAGAAGGGGGTTGATTGGATAGTTTCCAGTGCAGCTACTTAGTCTGTGACCATACCAGTGTTTTAATCCGGTATTTTCTTGCATCCTGAAATAGGAAATCATTCTCTGGAGAAAAGCTCCTGAGAAACTGAGGAAACAAAGAACCAACTTCCATCAGCGGTTTGAAAGTCCAGAGCCACAGGCATCTGCAGAACAGCCTGAAATATGAACTGGATCTATGGGATGAAAAACTGGTATATCGGTAGATCAGCAAATTAAAAGTGGCAACAGCCTGTAGGAAAGAAAGGCCAAACACCCATTACAACAGTCTTCCTCATCTTACAGTGCTGCATTTCCCCCACTACTAAAGCATTCTTCAAGTAAATATTCAGTTCTGTACATAAATTTAAAGTAAGTGCTTTCTGAAACACTGGAACTTTCTTAAGCTATTTTATACTGCACATTTTACTTTTGTCTGGTGTGATGCAGTCAGAGCTGCATAAAGCTTAAAGAAGTCTAGTTATGTGTTTCCATGCATGTAGTATGGTGCATCTAAATTTTGCTTTCATTGATGGTAAACTAAAGCATTTCCTCTTTCTATATCCAACTACATATCATACATATTTCCTCAATGTCTGCTGTCTGTAACATTGGAGACTTAATAAAAAAAATTGTCTTAAAATGACAAATTCAGGTTTTATAATGATACTGTTGTCTTTACCCCAGGGAAGTAGATAATATATATAAAATACAATGTATTTGGAATAGATCTGAGAGCATATTACTGTTTTCAGAATTTTTTGAGGAATGTGTACAAACAAGCTTCTTTCAGAATTAGCTTTTCAAGACAAGTGGCTGCATTCTTTTTTCTTCCCCTTACTTAGCGTACTCATTCCAATGACTCTATGATCAGATTCCAATTCACTTCAAGATTTATATGACCTGGGCTAAAATACAGAATTCTCTCATTAAACCCCAGTTTGGTTAAGGGTGCATGTATATGATAAAATGTTTTAAGATAATTTTTACTAATTTACACTCTTGAATACTGGATCATTTGCACAAAATTTTATTTTTGCATCAAATACATACTTTTCACTGTCCGCCTCAAATGTAGAATATCATATTCCTTTTCCATGCTGAGCTTCTGTGATGAAATGTGGGCTTGTACAAAAATATATAGAGGAAAAACATTAGCTTTTCCGAAAATGGTATTCTTGTGCAGCAAAAGATTGATTTATTTTTTATAATTCATTCTGGAATATAGTATCTCCGGGCAAATCTTGTTAGCCCCCATTTGTCCACAATTAACGTATAATTTTCAGAACCACACTGCCTGTCTAGCACCCTATGGGGGCCTGTTGAATAGAAGGCTACTCACATTTACAATTCACTTGGCCTATTTATCAAAAACGTTTCTAAACTTCAGTGCAAGTATTGTTGGTTACCTTACTGTGTGAAGTAAGCAAAATTACTAAATTATATTTAGAAAAGAATTGTTTTATTACTGTGGCACCTTGATAAAGCCAAGAATACTTTGCGTACTGGGACATTTCTCTTATTCTTAAAGCCTGTGATAAGAGAGAGCTTGATTCCCTCATGTAAGTGCCTATTCAGAATTTCAAAAGAAAAAAAAGCCAAATATTTTCATGGACACTTGCATGTTGCAATCTAGAAACTATTCCAAGAAATTTTGAAAATGGGTTGTATTTAACCAGCCTCAAATTGTGCAACAATGTATAATAGACATAATAAATTGCTATTTGAATTATTAAAAATAACTGTATTCTCACTAAAATCTCTTTGATTACTTTACGTCCAATGTCTTGTGAAGTAAATCTGACTCTTCTAATTAGTAGCATAGAACTTTTACTGACTTGCATGTTTTAAATGGTACCTAATCATGGGATAAAGAAAATTATATTTTCATCTCCAAAATTCAATAATTTCTCCATTATAAGTCCTTAGGTTAATGATTCTCAATGGATACTAAGCTTTGTTTATAAATATCTTCATGTCTTTTGAATGGTAAAAATTACAGGTGTAAATCTTCTAAAACTCCAAAGAAACATAATATACTTTGTAATACCAATCCATTTATTGCAGACAGTGTCAGTTATTCAAGCAGTTTCAGTGGTCTTTTTTCCCCAGTGTGCATGTGTTCTGCCATGCAGATTGCATTATTTTAGTGCAGGGGTGATAAAAAAAATGCCCCCCCTTTATTGTTAAATTAAGCTCAGGGCAGCATTAGTCAGCATTGTTAATGATGAGGGATGCTGTGCGTTACTGTTTATCTGAGGGGCCACAGGTTCTACACCAGTGCTATGATGAGAGCATTTGAGGAACACTGATTTATGGATACGGATTCTCCATCTCCATGCTGAGAAAAGGCGTTCAGGTAAGACGCCCCATTTATAAAACTTGTCTTATTGCTTGAAGCATAATTAGTTTTTGAGATGGCAATGTTTGCTTAATACAAAAATTACCAAGTGAAAGTCGAGAATTAAGTGGCCTTAAGAAATTCTAATATTATGGAGACAGTTGGATTACACATCAGCTTATATCTTTTGATGACCTGGTGAGATTAGGGCAGAGTAATGTATGATTATTTCTATTTCACATTAAATCATTCAGACTACTGCATAGATTATGTTTTCCCCAAAGTAGAGCAAAGTTTAGGATTAGGATTCTGCGCAACACTCCTTGTGTTATGGGTATATTTATCCACCGGAGGATCAAACAATAGAAATGACTGTGGACTTCTTCATGTCGCTTAGCTGCAGAACAGATATGACTGTGAAGAAGCAAACATATCTTATTTATTGCTTGACAATGACACACCTTCACCATCAATCTTTGAAACTTTGTCCCATCTCCAACCCACAACTGAGGCAGTTTAATTAACCTTCAATATTTCAAGTTACAGTATAAGGCAAAGGTCCTCAACCTTTTGGGCACCAGGCACCAGTTCTGTGGAGAGAGGTTTTTCCACGGACCGGAGGGTGCGTGATTTTGTGTGCTGCCTGCATCTCACAGATAGGACTTTGCTTGTTTGTGCAGACCGGTTGCTGGCATCCCGCAGCCCGATACTGGTCCACGGACCGGAAGTTGGGGATCCCTGGAATAAGGTACTGCTTTCCTTCTTCTGATGTAGTGCAGTTAACACACTTTCATAAATTGTGATAACATGGTCAGATATTGGAATATACACAGCTTGTATGGCTGTTTCATACTGTCACAGGTACTTGGCACAGACACCAAATCAACACTTCCAAACCACTTAAAACCTTTATGTGGATGAGCTCTTTATAAACATGGTACTCTTTTGACCACTTCTGAGCTTGGTTCTACAAACTGTTGCTTGATCTGTTGTATGAGGTGTAATACAGATTTTTTGCTTTTCTGCTGACAATGATTCCCATGGCCACATCTTTTTTTACTTTTTACAATAATGTTCCTGTTCCTGAGAACTTGTGCATCAGTACTGTACTTGCCACTTTGACTGATCACTATGCCTGGAACCAGTACCATGAAATTGTACCCCTGTGGCAACTTGTGATTTTACGTTGCTCCTGATAGAGGGACATCATTTTTTTGAGGTACTTTAGCTTTGGCCTAGTTATGGTAGCCAATCACAATTGTATATCTGTGCCACTTCCAGGTGTTACCAGCCACAAGTTCAGAACTGGACTTATTAGCACTTACACCACTAGTTGTGGATGGAGTTAATTTGCTTCCTTGGTATTGAGATTTTGGACTCCTTCCTTCTTCCTAGTAGCCTGTAGACAATCAGCCAGCTAGGAAAGCAGCCTACAAAGTGTTGATGGGAAGTTCTTAAAAAACAACAGACACAACTGCATTGCTGGGAATCTGGGGTGAAGCAAAGATATGCAATTCAACTACTATAATACAGATATTTTCCAAATAAAGCTAAGAGAAATTCTCACGGGATAAACACCAGTCTAGATCAAAGATGGTACTTTTAGAGTATAAGCACATTCTGGGTCATAATTTGAAACATTGAAATGCTCTAATTGCAGTTGTGCCATATTCTGTCAGGTTGGTTTCCTTACCAGCTGTAATTGTTACCTGTGAAAATATTTGCTCTCATGACAAAAAGTATCAGAAAAATGCAGCACGTTCTATCTTCAATAGAAAGTGCCTAAATTTGTTTTGAAGGAAAGCATTCCTTTTGTTTGATTCATATGTGAGAGAAATCAAAGTGGCTCAATATCCTACAGTCAATGCAACTTAGTCTCTTAGTCTCTCATCCTTAGTAGATGTGGATGAGTTTGCCACCAATAAGGCTTGTAGTGTAGCAAAGAATTTGAACTTGAAAGGAGGGGAGGGTAAATTACTTGTGAATGTCAAAAGCAGCTGTATCTATGGCCAAGCTGCCCCTTCTCCAACACCTAGAGAGAACGAAGATAGGGAGTTCTGTGTGGAAAAAGCCTGGAAAGAGCCAGAATAGTATAGTGGTTAGGATACTGGACTAGGCCTTTATTTCAGAGTGGCTGCTGTGGGGAGAGTGCTACATCTGCCACCCAGAACTCCAGGAGGAAAAATCAGGTATAAATCAAATGAGTAAGGGCTTCCGGTTAGATGTCGCGGTGTTACGCGCGCAGGAAGACAGGGCTCCATCTTCCGCGTTCGATTTTGCCCCGCTGGGGACCCTAAAAAGTTGCCCCGGAGAGGCGACAAAGGAGGGGACCTTTGTTGATCGCGGAGGGGCAGCGGTCCCTCCGTTTGATCTGAGGAAGCCCTCCAAACCGGTGGGGGAAAGACTGGCTACACTTCTGTGGCCAGTCAGAAGCTGCTGACAACCAAAGAAAATAAGCACTAACGAGCAACTCTTGAGCAACATGGATGGAACTGGGTGAGACTATAGCCTCTCTTTATGATTTTAAGACTTTTTCCTGGGAAAAAACCGCCCAAAGCAAAGAATCCCCCCTCCCTCCCAATGAGAGAGGGAAAGGGAATTTCCACCCCATTCTCTCAAGAAAAGAAAAGCGGCAAACTAATTGCTTGGGGAAAAACAGAGAAAATTACAAGATTAATTTGGAACCGATACAGATATATAGCTTTGAAATTTGGGGACTAAAAGTATTTTTGAGACTTTTTTTTTAGAAAAGTTTGTAAGATAAGTTTGGATTTAAAAAGCTGGAAGATGGCATTAGTGACATTTAGTGGGGAACTATGCCACTACAATTTATTATTAAAGGAACTGGCTTGAAGCCCAGGCTCAGATAAGACTTTGATTGTCCTTGGAAACTTTCACTGGGAAAAGGGAAAAAAAACAACAACAACCTCTTGGCCTGCTTCTTTGTTGTTCCTGGAAACTTTCATTTTTTCAGACTGCAGCTGGGAAAAGTGAAAAAAAAAACCTCTTGGGCTACCTATCTGTGTTGGGGACTATAAAGACTATATACAAAAACAAAAGGAGTGTTCCATACTTAGCCTTAAATGGTAAAAAATCAACTTTAGCACCTGTTTCTGAAGTTCCCAGCTTGATAGATCAACAAGAAAATGTTAATGAATTTCAGAAAGAAATTCTATGTTTAAGTCAGTCCAACAGACAATTGTTTTATTTCATGATGAGACTAAAAATAACGCAAATGAGATAAAAGAACAATTTTCTAATCTAAATTTACAAATCCAGACTATGACTAAAAAGGAGGAACTAGTAACCCAGAAAACAGAAGGAAAATTAGAAGAAATAGATCCAAAGATGGAAGACCTAAAGGAAGGAATTAACAGACAGATACTGACAAATGAAAAATTAGAAGATATAGTGGTAACACCAGAAATGGAAGATATCTTACTTGTCAAGATCTCAGAACACATTTGAGGATAAGGAAGAAGAGCTGATCGAACGGATGATAAAGCTGTTATGAGAAATGCTGAATACTGACAAACAAGATATGAAAAGAAAAACTGAAGGAGAAAGATGGAGGCTGTTTAATGAATATAAATGGATTGAGCATTCTTCCAAAAATACTTCAATTAAATTTTCTTCCTCATTCCAAACAATATATACAAAAAGAGAGGAAGAATTACTTGATGATTCAAATGTACTGACTTGGAAAGTTATTTGGCAAAGGAAGAAAGCTAGAGTAAGACTGAAGGAAATAAAGGTTTTGATCTATTAGATGGGATATTATACTAGTAAATAGATGTTTGAATATGGTTAAGAAAATAGCTGTCAGAAATAAAAGAATTATTATAATTAGGATAGGATTTGTAACTAGAATATTATATTTTGTTATGAGATGGGAAATATGAAAATTCTAAAAGGGTTTGAATAAAGGAAGCCTTTGGTTATCCAAATATAATTTATTATGAGAAAATTATAAGCGATAGAGATACTTTGAACACTGAGGGGAAATCAAAATTTTTAAAAAGTGGGAAAATCAGGATATTGATTGAAAAAATGAAAAATTGGATTCTAAGTGCAAATGCAACTGAGATATATTTTGGCTAGAAAAGATATAAACTGACAGTATCAATATTATGTACAATACCAGAAAAATGTGATGAAGATGTCTATATTTAATTGTATATGTATTAACAGTAACAAGAACTGTATTTGCCCAGTGTGGAAAAATGCATACCACCGGAAGAAGAGAGGATCAAGGAAGCACTAGATGGTGTAGTTTTGGACTAGACTGGGAAAGTTAGTATGTGCCACTGAATTACCAATGGACCCAGACAACACGTTGTTTATTAAGTACTTATGATTGTAAAATTAGAAAATAAAATATTTTTTAAAAAATAAAATGAGTAAAATAAGACGATACACTTGTTTGACACACACACCCTTTCACCAAAAGATTTACTTAAATACATACAAAAACGTAAAACAAATAGAAAATGAAGCAAGTGGAAGACAGAATAACGTGGAGGGCTAAGGCAAACCATTTCTATGGGCCTCTGACTCTGCCCTCCACTCTTCCAGGGCGCAGAGTCTTCTGTTCTGTGCCTCAAGACGACGGTTCATGGTTTTCACTGTCAAGAGAGGTCAAAGAGAGATAAAGTAAGAAACTACATCACCAAGGCTGATGGTTGTGTTTCCATTTATAATTGGGAAAAAACCTATCTTAAATGTGCCACATCACATGAGCTTACAGTAAATTCAATTACTGTTCCTGGTTACCAAAGAGGGAGCAAACAGGAAAGAGATATATTTGAATCATATTTCCAAGGAGAACCAGGAAAGGTTAAAGCAGTGTTTCTCTATTTCAGCAACTTTAAGATGTATGGATTTCAACACTGATAATTCCTCAGCCAGCATGCTGAGGAAACTTGGCATCTCAGTTAAGCATCTTCCTCAAATTAAAGCTGTTCAGTGCTTTCTCTGTCAAGGGTGCTCTGATAAGCAAGATGAATCCCAAGATGTCCTCTTAGAACTATCATTGCTTTGGTGAGCATGGCGCCAGTTTAAAGGGGAATGATTTCAACTGAGATTGGTCCTTTCCAATCTCTATGCAGATCTAATGGGACTGTGTAAATTAAGACTTGGAACAAATCTAAAAAAGCTACAAAGTTGTTCAGTAAGATGATTTCTCTCCTGAATTTCAACATCTTTCATTTCTTTCTGAGCTTTCATCTTGATTTTAATTGGTCAATTCTTTCTTTCCCCTCCGCTAGGGCAAACCTGGGAATATTGTTCCTAGCTATTTTTGTAGTATGTGGCTGAAGGGGCAAATCTTGTGCATCCATGTCAAGTGAGTACATGAACAAAATAAATTTGAAAGTGCTTCAGGCTTACAGTTCTGGAGGACTGCTACTCTGAGATCCTCCAGGGAAAGGCGAAATGCCTCCATACTGGTACTTCCTTCCTTTGGCTGTGATGTTGGTGCCAGAACTGTTGAAGCATCTCTGGTCTCAGTTCCTTTCCTCTGTAGTTTCCCTGTGACACAGCATGAAAGTTATTTGAGATACAATATGAGCACTTTGGATGACTACATGAAATTATTCCCACTCGATAATGGGCGTATGGTTCATAATGGGTTTTATTGTACCACATTCACTTTAAACTGGGTCAAGAGGGACCTTTGCATTAGATAAGGCAAAATGGGCAAAGCATAAATCTCTAAGGCATTTGGCACATGGCCTGTCTGGTGGCCCCCGGTGGAAGAGCTCTTGAGATGCTGGCTTACCATGTCGTCTGGGACTATCCAGTTCCTCTAGTGCCATAGCAGAAGTGGATGGCCTGGGGTCTTCCAAAGAGGTGGTTAGATGAGGAGATATAGGATTAGGAAGAGGGGAACAACCTTCCCTCATTGTGCAGCCCTGAATGGATGCACAAATAATCAGCAAGAACATACACACAACACTTGCCCACACCAAGGTTCACTGCTTCACTAAGTTGAAGCATAGTGCATGCAGCACCTACTTCTGAGTTATGGGAGTGTTTTGGGGTAACAACGGCAGAATTAACAGAACTCAACAGGGAGTCACAGCTATACTTACCAACAGATTCTTCCTTTGCTGGCTTTCGCTGAGATCTGTAAAGCTACTTCAAGCGAGGACACTGACAACAAAAGGACCTTCACTTTCACAGTTTTCTATCCTGATGTTGGCAGCCTGTAAATTATCAATAGAGAGGCATTGGAGGGTATCTCAGTAATGAGCATGCAGGAAGGGAAAGAGTGGGAATGAATATAAGAGCCATGGAAAGTTGTCCTTTTCTGAGATGAACATGCCTCATTATTGCAGCAGCCTGCTTGCTTCAGCATCTCATGCACTACATGACTGGTAATTAGAGTGACAGTACACTAGAAGGAGAAAGAAGAGTTGACAGCTTGACCTGCATCTCTGTCATACCAGTCACTCAACTCTTACCACAAACAAAATGCATAGAAAAAAAAATGTCTCGCCAATGGCCAAATTGGATGCAATCTGCCCCATCATCTTACACTCACAAATTCTTGAAATTCTTGCAAAAAATGCCAACTCACAATTTCAGTACAATTTCATTATTTCTTTTGCAATGGGCAAGTAAGTAACCTTGGGACATTCAGGCTGGAATCCATGAAGTAATTAAATATTATCGTAATAAGTACCAGAGAGTGTAGGTGGGGAAGGCTCTTTGATTTCCTTATTGGAAGAATAGTGAACTAAGATGTAGGAACATGCTTTGAGGGCTACAATAACTGAGTCTTAAGCTTAATCTAAGAACCAAATTAAATTCAAACTGAAACCATTCCTCAATTACAACTTAATATATGGATTTGTACCAACTTAAAATTTATGTTCCTATAGAGTCCATATTTTTGTTTTATAGGACATCTTAGGCTTCATTTACTCCAGGAGAGAAATCTCATTTGCTGATTTATATGCTGATCATAGTTCTTGATATTCTTGTTTAGCTTAGACTGTAGCAATTTTTAATCTTCTGAACGATATAGTCAATAACTATAATCTTTAGCCATTTTAATTTTTGGTTTATTTCATTGTATTTTACCTCAATAGTTTTTATTTCTTTTAATCACTGTTTAAGTATTTTCTTTCAAATGGAGAGAGAGGGAGAGAGAGAGGGAGANAGCGATACAAAGACACGCTGAAAGCATCTCTCAAGTCCCTGGATATCGATACCATCTCTTGGGAATCTCTGGCGCATGATCGACCGACATGGCGTACCCTGGTTTACCAGGGTTGCCAGACATATGAACACAGAAGGACAATCTTGGCACAAGAGAAGCGAGCACTCCGTAAAGCCAGAGCTGCAAATGCTGAAGCAATGGTGTCCACATTTCTCTGTTCAGTATGTGGCAGAACATTCCGTGCTAACATCGGTCTCATCAGCCATCTACGGACACACCGCTGATGGCCCATAATCCATAAGACAGTGATGGCGAACCTTTTAGAGACTGAGTGCCCAAACTGCCACCCAAAACCCACTTATGCATTGTCGAGTGCCGGGTGGGTGTGGCCCATTGGGTGGGCGTGGCCCATTGGGTGGGCATGGCCCATTGGGTGGGCGTGGCTACAGTGGTAACAGCAGACTGGATGGGACTAAAAAGTTCAATCAATCAATTCCAACTTTGCAAGATCTTTTTTTTCCCACGAGAAGTTGAAATTGACTGATTGAACCTTTTTTTTTTTTTTGCACACGGCGGCAGAGGCCTAAAGCGAAAAGGTTTTATAAAACCCAGCTGAAGGCCTAGGACTGGGGCGACGGCGCGCGTGCCCACAGAGAGGGCTCTGAGTGCCGCCTCTGGCACCCATGCCATAGGTTCACCACCACTGCCATAAGATGTCAAGGTCTTCACCGAAATCGATGGACAAACAACAATAACAATAAGAGGCTTTATAGACCAAGGGTCATTCCCACCAGATAAGTAAGTGTCACTTTTCAGGGATTTTTCAGTGCTCCTGTGCCACATAGTTCCCACAACGCATCTTTGATGTCTTGGCTGGGCTACATCAATAAAAGATACTAGGAGGTATGGGATCAAAAAAAGTCAAGAGGGCGGCTACAACACGCCATTAGAACCTTTAATTTTTACGGAGAGAGAAACAAAGAACACCCTGGTGGTCAAAAGGGGATCGCGATCGGAAGAACACGATCCTCGGGCGGAGGGCTTACCTGTCCCTTCGCCCCGCGGCTCCCACGCACCGCAAGGCGGGTCTGCTCATCCGCGCCCCATCCAAACGCCTGCGAGCCTCCAGTCCAGTACGAGCTTCAGCTCGGACTACAACTCCCACCCACTTCCGCCGCTGATTTCTGGTGCGATTTGGAGGCCCGTGTTAGGTGTCTTCAGCAGTGCCGGGGATGGGTGAGCTTTCTTTACTAAGACCGGCGCTGTTCAGAAGTGTTGATAGACAGAGGCGACGGGCCGTACGTACGCTGTATGCCGGAAGACAGCTTCTTTTTAATCAGCTTTGCCGAGACAGCTTATGTTTCCTCCTCTCCTGTTCAGGCGTTTCCAGAGACAGCCTGGGATCCTCGAGTCGCTGAGCAATGACGCAATAGGTGCGCGCGGCCTTGCATGCGGTGTCCGAAGGGCTGCTTCGATGTCTGCGAGCGGCTGTGCACGGTTGCTTTCTCGGCTCCCTTCTGGCCAGTTCCGCTGCGGATGCCCTCTGGCTCTCCGGAGCCGGGG